CGAAACGTCAGGAAGAAATTCCCATAGACCACGGCTTCAAAGCCCGGAAAACATTCCTAAATGTGATTTAACCGGCCGTGAAAGCCTTCATAGTCTGATAGCCAAAATAATTCGAAATATGCTTTAAACTACAAAAATGCAACATAGAAAAATTCAAAGTTTAACTTTGGTGCCTTGTATGGTAGGTAAATGGTGACATGAAAATAAAACATAATTTTGTTGAAGAAGTATTTATTGAAATTGTAACTTTTGCTTTAAAATACAAAATAAATTAATGACCTGGATGAACCTGATGCGATGTTAGGAGTGTATTTATGTATTTATGTCCGGCTCAATGTTTGTGAGTAGCAACCGCAAATCCCCACGAGTACTAATTTCTGGTCGGTTTCTTTTTTTGTGACGACGCTCACAACGGCACTGAATCTACGATCTACCAGATCAGAAGCCGGAAAAGCGATTGAAAGCTTTTGTACAATATTCCATAGGTGATGGAAATTAAATTGCGATCTCGGTCAGATCCTGGTTTAACCATCAGTTTCAGCTCCAAATTTGTGGATAATTCACTGTCGCTCCGGTATTACTTTGTATTAATCTGCATTTGTGCCCTGAGTATGACTAGTTTCAAAAGGGTAAAAGTGCGCGAACCCCCTCAGGATGTTCAGGGACCCCAAAGATGATTTTAATTTCCCATGGGTCCCCTGAATGATGAAAAACCTAAATTTGGACATTTTTAATACCAATATAGGTTGAAGTTGTACGGGTTTCACTTGCAGCACAGTGATTATTTTGCCGGTTGAAGCAATTCTCATATAAAGCGGGATTTCTGAATCATAAAACGGCTGAAACCATCAGCGCTTGTTAATGCCGAAGGAAAAATGCTTAAAGCCGAGTGAGAATTCATGCACCATTCTGATTCTGAACCTCCTATCCTGCTTGTAGGCGAATACGCCGAGCCTAATCGATTTTGCCTCTTGAGATTAATTTTATGGAACATCCGAGCAGGAAAACTAAATTTCGAAATAGTTTGTTGAGTGATTAATCAGTCATCAATACGTGGAAAATGTACAGGTTTTTAGCCCCTATAAACCCCGTTTTGAGCCGTTTTTTAATTGGTTCTGTGAGGGCTTACCAATGACGTGCTCCAAAACCTACCCATTTAGCCAATCAAATATCTCACATATATTTCTAATTTAACCAGCTTTTCTAAATTAATACAAAATCCCAAGTTTGAAAAGTACTGGTTACAGTACAAGACTAAAGTTTCAATAACTCCATGAAACTCGAGGGTAAATCACTGGCATATTCCTATTTGAACCTGCGAACCTTCCTTTTACAAAAAGTTACCAAGGCAAATTGAAACGCAAAACTATTCTCAATTAGTTCTTTAATCAACCTATACTTCTACATAATTAATGTGTGTAGATTTGTGATGCCACTCTACACTGGGAAATGGATATGGTATTGCCATTTTTACACGATTTCTATTGCACTAAAATTAAAATTACATATTGTTCGGTAAACCGTTGATGAAACAATGACTTGAACGTTACCTTCAAACCGGCGTTTTTTCAAGTGAAGTAACTTTGATTTAATCAAGTAAAAAAGTGCAGGTGCAAAAATCGTATAAAGCATTCTTAGACACAATTCAAAATTTATTATCAAAACCGTCAACGACTGTCTTATTTACAAGCCATGGTAGTGTCTATTATTAAAGATAAAAAAGATGTTATGACACTGTGCTGGATTTACAATAAATGATCTTTACCGTAGCCGCTAGTGAAACCATTGTCAATAAACTGCTAACGAGTATTATAAAGTTCTTCACTAAAATTGTCGAAACAAGACTAGAATCATTGTGTATTCGAAACAAATTTCCTATTTCCTTGTCGATTTATACAAATTCTACAAGTACAGAATCAATATGTCTTTATAGAAAACATTTGAGTTAAAATAGACTAATAACTCATCAAAGTATCAATAATTGAAAAAAACAGAAATTTGCTTCGGTAAATATGTACTAGAAAAGACCACAAGCTTCCACGTTGATAATGAAGCGAATTCTATGAATCCGATCTAATTAAACCCGAACCAAAACTTTTAAGAAAACATTCTAAAACAAGTAGGATGGTTGGATGGTACTTACGTAAAATCCACAGGATTATTTTACGTGGATTGATTATGGCTCTTTGCAGTAAAATTAGTCCATGACCAGATCTACACATGTGTAAAATGAATACATTAAGGTCGTGATTTTAGCTTTCTTTTGCCACAACATTCAAATGAGAAGTACAAAAGTAAGCAAGGTGTTTGTGAAATGGCTGTACAAGGTAATACCAGCTGAACATCGCTATGTAAGATTGCTTAAATATATGGAACTTGTAAAAATTAAGCTTGATGATTCAATAAAGGAATGATTGCTTCTCGTAATAAAATATATAGGAATTCGGATTTGAAAATGCGCTCTAACTGAAACAGAGCAACCTTAGGTAGGATGAGCCTCCGTTTGACGTTGTACAAGCATTAGCCAATCACCACGTTTAACCAAATAATCCAGTAGCAGTAGATTTAGTAATTCTATCCATTGTAAAAACTGAAAGGCAGATAATTTCCTAGAAGTAAGAATAAATTACAACATTTCATAGCAAAAAGTGTTCCCAACAATACTAGTTATTATATAAATATTTTTGTTGTCGATTATGTACAAAGATTTTTAACAGTTCTATATAATGTCCTATCACTGTCACGTATTTAACACAATAATAAGATCACTGCTAATCTAAATTTAATTTAAGAATTGAAGTGACTTAAAGGCGAATTGAATTCAGAGGTCACAGTTTGCAAAAGTAACTGGCCGAATAAGCAAATTAAAAGTGAATCGCTTGGTTGTGTCTGGGTTGCATCTTGATTTCCTATTTACTTACAATTCTTGTACAATTGCATTTACAAATGCTTATTGAGAAATTTGCTGTTTGTTATGGCAAAGATTCGCTCTATCTGTCGCCGATACATAACGCATAAGTTAATTTGTACATTATTATTCATCTGCATCTGTATTCCCTACAGAGGATTTCATTTGTGCTAAAATATAGTTTTTAGTTTTGTTACCAAAATATAGCGATATTGATATACAATTACAATTGATATACAACCAAAGTATACAGTTTTATGTAGCATTTTTGACTGATCCGCTGTTATGTCTAAAGTTTCATCACAGATCGAAATTAAAATCAAAAATTAATCATAAACGAATCGAGTCAGAATTTATTGAAGTGGTACTATTCAGATCAAGTTTAATCACTACCTATCTAAAAATTATAAGTTATTACACTTTACACCAAGGTCCGACAAAATCAACAAAAAATAATTATTTACAGCTAATTCATAATCTAACAGATGTGTTTGTATCAAAAACAGCTAAATTTTAAATAAGCTTGGAATGTAAAAATCCTATGCTAAACTAAGTAATTCAATCAAAATAATTCTATAAATAATGCAGAAATTACAACCAAACAAAAAAATTCTAATTTGACTCGCCAAAAATTCAGTTTATCACGTATAATGATATCATTTGATCCACAAAGTAGTTTTTGCATCAAAATAAGGAAAAAATTAAAAATTTTCGAAATAAATATCACAAAAATAATAAGTTAAAAAAAACTAAATAGTAAAAGTCGTTATATCACAAGGCCCCTAATATTAAAGCCGAAATTTCGTACTGAGGTGATTCCGACTTCATCAAATAAAACAAATCATATCTGTACAATAAATAAATAAATAAATAATTCAAAGGAACTTGTTAAACAAGTAAAAGTAATATACACGTATAAAAATATTGACTTAGAAAATATGGCAGAAATTATTCCGGACTGTATAAAATGGACTGTTGTTGAAAATGTTGTAAACTAAACATGATTTCACTACAAATCACAAGTGAACGGTGTTCATTTTTTCGAAAAACCAAATTGTTTTTTCTGTAAACTTGTTCTGACTAGGTTCAAACGCACATGTGACTTTGATTGATTTTTAATAAGGAGGTTCTAGTCGATTAGTGCGACTAGAAGCGAATTGAATTAGACGAGTGTTTCCCAAACTTGTTCGATAATGGAACACTTTGCAAACTGACGATTTTTTATGTGTTAAAATAAAGTTGATTTCTACTCAACTCAACTCCAAAAAAAGACGTTCAACATTTTTTATGAGTATAACGTTCTTCCACGTTATTTTAACATCTAAAAGAAGGTCACAAGGAACACTAGTTCACGTTCAACGAACAACGCGCGTGTTCACGAAGTTCCGCGGTACACAGTTTGGAAAACTCTAAATTAGACATTAGAAGTTATGATTTTCGCAATAAGAAAAGTTACAAAAGATTGTCATAATACTGGGGGGCAAATGCGCAAAATTATATGAAATTTGATGTGAAAAATTTGATTTAAACCATTGAATAAGTCAAATACACAATTATTATTTGGTGAACCTACACAGCTAACTCTACAATATGGCGCTTCACAAAATATTCAGTGTCACAGCAGTAGTAAATGACGATCTCTGAATGCATGTCACAAGACATCCTCTTGATCGTCCATATCATTGTCCATGTCCCCATCATGATCTAAGTCATCAGTGTCCATTCCTGGGGACATTTGATGCATCATTGCAGCTGCTGACTTTGGATCTTCGTCTTTCCATTTATCCATTGATCGCCTCCGAGCGTTCATGAAGAAATTTCCAACTGTGGTTGGTTCCAGACCCAACTGTCGTGCAATCGTCACCTGCATTTCCTTTGACGGCCTCTTTGTTTCCTGAAATACAATTGAGAAGAATCAGCACCGAATTTTTCCACGGATTTGATCCCCAAACAGTACAAAAAGTACAGTGCAAGTTCTGTTCGTTCGTGCGACCTGCACGTTTCAACATGAAAGCGTAATACGTGGACAATGTTCAAGCAGGTTTTTTTGCGAACCGCAAATTTTTACAACAGAACCCCATTGGGGTAAAAACTGGTTACTAAAGCGGAAACAGCACTTCCATATTAATTGGCTCAAATAATTTCGATGGAGGAGGAAAATAGCTCTATCAGGAGTCTGATAGAGCTATTTTCTGATGACAAAGGAAAAGTTCTAAGAATTTTCGCTTTGGTTACCCCAAATATTGTTGAACAGACCAATGTCACCTCATGAACGGCTTACAGCAGCAATGCGATTTTTGGCAACAAAAAAAATATTATTCAAAGGCGCACTTTGGTTATTTGCTGAAAGTAATAAGGCTACAAAATGAAAATTGAATGAAGAAAATCAATATTCTTTATTCAGAGTTGCCCGAGAGTTGGCGCTGTATGTCAACCAAGCAATAAACGCTAAGTAGGTAAATGTATGTCTGCTCAGTCCTCAGAACTGATTGTGTAAACAAGTTGAAGGATATGCATTTGTTTTTCGGCATGCCCTATCAGTTACTTGAATGTTATTATTTCATTAAATGTTGGGTTTCTAATTCATTTCTGCAAGAACGACTCACAAACAAACAAAAGCTGAAATATCAATTGTAAATCATAATTTCGCTTGAGGTCTTTGTGGGAAAGTCTGAATAATTTATGAGACTTTCCCAGTGTTAAATGGGGATGTGGCAACAAAATGACTAAGCAACCGGTATAAAATAACTAAATTATGAATATGGCTGTGCTCTAGATGTGCCAAATAAAATATTAAATACATCCAGCCCTAGTTTCCTGGAAATTGCCATGAAATTATGCAATTTTCTCTAGCTAGATGTTCCCAATATTATTCCAGATACATCTATTCCATAATTCAGCCAAAGTTTTAACTCTAAATTCATAACTTGATATACCAGTGGACTTACCTTAAAAATAGCCTGAAGAGTACGCCTCTGGAGGTCTGTAAAAACCAATCGAGGTTTCTTGGGGGTAGGCATCTGCTCTGTATTCCCCGTAGTATCCTCTTTCCGTTTGCAACCTGTTTCATCAGAAGTGAAAGACAAAATGAAAATATGCACGTTTTCCGAAATCTGGAAACTGGTTCGAACCCAAAGCAACTTCATAACGCCACAGAAAACCTCTACGTGATTTTTTATTATTCAAATTAGTCAGTCGCTTTGCCGATTTTATTTGCAATTCATTGATAATTTTCAAAACTCTCGATGCAGTTAATTCGATTGAAAGAACAATTGCAAACTCTGGAACTAGAAAAGTGAATAATTACTTACTGCCTCGTTGGGGTATCTGCGCAGCTGAAACAAAAAATTGCATATAAACTAAACAGAATAAGTGGCCTTTTTACATAAATTAATACAGAAAGGATTCGCAGCCATCATTTTCAATAAAAATAGAGTATACAATCATATGGGCTTTCGATGTACACGTTCGTACATATCATTCCATGTGTAGCATTTTTTCAACATTATCATTATGCCAGACACACAAATACATTTAAATAACCATCGGGAATTGTGCATAACAACACTGCAATAGAAAATAAAGCTGTTGTCATGCATGTAAGCTCTATATGCCAAATAATATGAAACAGATATTCCGATTTATGTTCTTTCGCATGTAACAAATAAAAATAATTTAAATAATATGCATTTTATGACAAACATGCAAATATCTTTAACATCAAGTGACAAATAGAACTCACAAGCATGAAGTTGGTGATGATTTCCTTCGTTTGCTGTTGACTGCCCTCACGTTTACATTGCGCGTCTGGCAGTCTGCAATGAAACAAGAGAGTAGTCAACAACATAAAAAAAATTAAATATATTTATACGAGTATATAAAATATATTCATGGCTATATAAAAATTCTTGATTTTGGCTAAAGTCTGAAAAAAAATAATGAATAAAGCCATTAGCTTGGTTTCGCAGCTTTTTTGTAAGTCTATATGCCTTTGTTCGTTAACTTCCATATTTGATTTTAATTCCACATGAATAGCGCTCAAAAGTTCGACTGGAACAAAGAATTTTCCAGTGTATAACTCTTCAAGTGGTGGAAGTAACGTTACACATAATATTTTATTTAGAGCTTTAATGTCGCTCTAAGCTGATGTGATAGTTGCTACCTTAAACGAAACCGTACTAAACATAACAAAGGAAAGATTCTAGTCATTAGAAATTTGGTTTCTGAACCATTGGTATTAATTAAATGGTGGTAGAGATAAGAAGCTAAGCAAATAATGAAATAGAATAACCTTGAGAAACATTTCGTTTTAAATTGACTAATAGCGAAACTTGCCGGTTTATATACAATAAAGGGGGTTGGAACTCGTTCTTAGCGTTGTAACCCAAATATATTATTGCGAGGGGACGAAACAAGCTCACAATGTACATTGTATTTAGCTGCTATCGTATGTCTTATGCGCCATAGCAACCGAAAAGTGAACAAAATGGCATTTTACAAACATTTTTGATTGAGGATTTGAGGAAATGGGGTTGTTTCTTCCGGGAAAATCGGGTAAATCATAAATGGGGCGCTTTTCTTATATACCTCTTGGCAACATTGCGTTCGTAGCTGAATACAGAGGTACGGAAAAATCGATAGCTGTGGGATGATTCACCTTCACACGAAATGGACAGCTTTTGAAAGCTCGTGCTATAAAGAATAAATTGTGGTTGTTTTGAGTGGGAAGGGGAACATATTTTGTCGCATAGAGTTGACTGTATAGTGTTCCTGTTATTCAGGTCGTAGTTTTTTTCTCCCGCATTTATCTATTTAAGCGTTTTATCGGTCCCATTTTTTAAAACGGGACCTAAAAGAATGTTTGCTCAACACTTCCTAAACTTTAAATAAAAGGGAATGAAAGCGTACATATCACGGTTTATTTGGCAGTTTCAGGTTTGACCCCTGCCGATTTCAAGGAGCAGCTGTTCGGAATCCATATATTTTTTTTAAATTTAGGGTACTGCCCATAGTACTCATCAGACCATGTGTGACGTTGGGGTCACGGACTCCCACCTGCGTACCTTTATCACCCGCACGTGCTACATTAATTTGTTCAATGATTAAACTAGACATTATCTATTGTAATCTTTGTCACGTAAAGGGTGATTCTGATGATTACCAAAAATATCCTCGGTTAAATATTTTACGATATTATATACCCATAGTGGCTTTTTAGTCACATTGAAGCACCAAGTTTTTTTTTTAATTGATCAATTCCAGGCACCCGTTTTATTAAGCGCTCATGTTGAGGATCTTTATGTATTTTTCAATGTTATAAAGAACTTTATAAGGGCGAAAGGTCAAGGTGCACTGGGGCAAGTGGCAGTCAGGTGGCTGAACCAAAAATTGGTGGGCGAAAATACATTTTTGCTAAATAATCTATATCGGATAAATTTCTCAAGCAGTTGAAAATGTTTTCTGAATTTCATTTTCTAAAAACTATAAAAACAATTCTCTAATTTTATAGAATCAAATAATTAGTGGAAGAAGCAAAAAAACTATGCAGGGCAAGTTTATGAACGTCGAATATGTGCCAATTTAGACTAGAAAGTTCTGCAGATAATTTGATAAAGAAAACTAGTTAGGCGGGAGTTTGATGAAATGAAGCGGAAAAGCTGGCGAAAATTACGCATAATTGCGCTGATGGACTATGAGACTGTTGAAATAAATGAAGCATGTGTGAGTGTAGTAAATACGGATTAAGTTAGGTGATGAATATGTGCAATTGAGTTGTTGCCAGTAAATGTTGATAAACATTGTACATTACCTACCAGCTAATCTGAGTGCGGACATTCGCTGAAACTCCGGTTCTTGAAGCCACTTCCACATTCTGCGAAACGTCTCCCTGCCAGATTTTAATTTTGACCAGGGCTTGGGGTTCCGTAGGAGGTCAGAAAGAGTACCCTGTGATCTGCATAAAACTCTTTGGGCAAAAATGGCCTGAGGAATGCTGTATCGTTTCAGCTCGGCACTGATTCGCTGGGCCAGTTCTTTTGTGTTGATTTCCTCGACATCGCTGGCTATTGTGGGAACATTCAAGGATCCAGGACTGCCATTTTTTATTTGAATAGGCTGCTGATGCTGATTACCTGGAGGTGTTTGTTGCAATGTAACCACTGGAGGTGAGGGAGAACAGTCGCGTTGCGGAGCCGAAATTTGCACTAACGTAGGAGGATGGTTTTGTAATCCAAGACCATTTAAAGTCGTTTGTCCACTAAAACTTGTCACTAAAGTACCTTCCGGCGAATTTAAGGAACCCGAGCCGGGAGGGCTGAGTTGAGGACTGTTCAAAGTTCGACTCACAAGTTCACCTTGTCTGGCACCATACGGAGAATCGTAACCCTGCGGGGACATACTTTTTTGAGGTGAAGGTAGTCCATTCTGGCTATACGCACTTTGGGGACTAATTGGACTAGATTGTTGTTGCATCCCCATGCTTGGCGAAGAATAGTTGTGTGGAGGTGTCATTTCCATGTTGTTCATGGTATAAGGTGTACTTGCATTGAGTCCCACAATGCCCTGAATGGTGTTATTTTGCATAACGGTGAAGGAGCCTGTAACATTACTGGCATGGCCATAAGCAAACTTATCGGATACGGTGGAGATGGGCGGCAAGGGTTGCAAAGGGGTAAGAGTGGCATAGGAGGAACTGGGACTGTAGCCGGCGGGAGACATCCTGCCGTTCACTGTGGTAAGGGTTTGGTAAGTCGGTTCCGGGTTCAAGTTTCGGTACTCATTCGAATCTATCATGACCGAACTGGGTGACAATTTTGGACTGAGGAGTTCGGACTCCCTCGATTCCTCTTGGGGTTGCACGATAACGGAGAGAGGGCCATCGGCTTCTTCCTGTTTAACAACACGACGCTCGACCACGGCGCGTGACAGCACCCTCATCGTCGTCACAACCCGCGTTTCCATGCCTCCTCCTGTTATGACTGCGTGCGTATGCGCTGTGCCATTTGAGGAATCGACCGTTTGCTCAGATAGTGACTGCTGTTCGATTATCTTTCCAATATTTTCCATCATAATTAATTTGATGGGTCGCCCGGCGCTTTTAGTGATGTCGACACCGCTTACCATCCGGAAAACTTCGGACGTTCATAACAACGTCCCCGCGCGGAAATGAACTTGCTCTCGAATTTCCTTCCGAATGGGTCGAACACCAACTGACACTGCAAAAACAGCAATATCCCGGTATATTATATTCTCCGTATTTACGACGGCGCCGACCAATCCTCGAACGAAACCATCGCATCCTCCTTAAAGACTCAAAGTGTCCTTTAGCGGCTTTTTGGTTCCGCTGCCTGTATGCGAAATCGCATGCTCCCTTCGATTGGGAACCCCCGCACTCGTACCCGATATTTAGTTATTGGTCTTCGGTTTCGATTAGTATGAATCCGTGGTGAAATTGTAACTTGGCAGTCGGTCGATACTGGATTGAATGGGGGAACGAACGACGCCAGGTGGTTTTCTGCGCGCGTCCTTCATGAACCCTCGTGCTGCGCCACAGGGCTTTTGCGTCACTACAATATACTATTCCTCCTTTTATCGGACCCTTTTTACCACCCTGTTTGAGTTACGACCATTACGGCATGATCGCAGAGCCTTCGAAGTATGCACGTCGGCCAAACAAAGGAAATCTGCGGCTCGCTGCTCTGGTGAGAACAACTTTTTCCTAAATATTCTTTTGCACCGTATTTACCTTACTAGCAGTGAGCAGGATGTCTTAATTATCTCACACCAAAAACGATCAATGCTCACTTGAACACAACTATTTCAGACCTTTCATCGAAAAGCAATGCTATCGACCACATATTTATCGTTTTTCGATATCACAAATATGGCACAAATTTCCAGTTCAATTTCGTTCAGCAGCGTTTTACAGATTCGGGGTGGCATATTTGCAACATTCATTTTCTTACCAAAAACACTCGATGCACTCCAATTATGTGCATTTAAATCATTTGAAAGGTCAATGAATCAAAGTGGCGAAAGCGTTCAAATCTTTTACGGCTTCTCTACCCCTATAGAAAAATAATTATCTTCGTGACCAAACTGATTAAATACAACGGAAACGAATGGAAACACATTTTTTTCTATATCTGCATATTGGGTCCCCTTCGCTTCCAACGCCCATATGAATCCGCAGCAAAACTTGCACCTGGTTTCTGGTCCTACTCATGCAGATGTTTAGGTGTTTGCTAACAGTTCAAATACAAACAATCTGTTTTGTTTTAAATATCATTTAATTCTCCAAAGAAATCGACTATTTTCAAATTTTTCGGTTGTAGCACGCACCTTAAACCTTGAAGCAAAACTCGCTTTTCAAGGAATCAAGAATTTTCCATGGGTTTCAAAACAGCACAGCGTTCGCTAAAGCCGCTAAGATTTTGCCACATTTTGCGCCACATTTTGAAATAATCCGATAAAATAATGCTTGGCGACGCGCCATCTGTACAGGCTCTCTTCATACCCAAATCGACTGCAAATAACACGGCTTTCTGTAAAGCCTGAACACGAAAACCTTAAAATCTGGAAAACCTTTATGAATAACGAGAGGACTATGGAACGGTGAAACCAAAATTTTTACAATTTTTCAGTTTGGATTATTTAAATTGTGAATGTATAATTTAACTCGTCAACAAGAATTCACTTTCTCATTCTTCAAATTGAAGTGGTCCTTCCTTAAATTTGCTTTGAATTAATAATTGCGCTTCCAGCTTAGTGAGGTTTGCTTGAAGCATTGCAAAGAATCACCAGACTTTGAAAGGAAACATTTTATTTGGAAAACATTTGCTGGTTCCAGAAAAAAATACTGATTAATTGACTCCAGAGTTGTATGTGAAAATCGACCATATAAGAGGAAAATCAGGTAAAACTGGATTTATCTGATAAAATCCCAAGGATCCAGAATATCGACCCTTAGTGTGACGCATGAGCAATAAGATAATTTGCCCTACACGGGTTATTCTAGGGCGAGAAAAATTAATGTCGCGCACTCTAACATATCAGGCAATCTCCGTTTTGTATTCATTATGACTGATGTACCGCACCATACGTTTCATTCGCTAGAAAAAAATGTTCTAGAAACACCAAGTGCTAGTCCATCCTACGATTTTTTATTGAAAAAGCTTCCACCATTCTGGCTCGAGAGAGATTGGCGGGTCTCCAATCTACTGTTAATGAAAGTGGCGGCCGACTTACAAAAACAAACAGTGGTGGGACCCATAAAACTCTCAGGACTTCTGGAATTTATTCTTCCTTTGATATTCTCTACTCCTTATCGTCAAAGACAACACTCTCGCAGAAACAATCATTTTCGTTCAATAGCTACCGGAGAAAATCTAGCTCCCAAGAAAATATATCCTACGAAACAGTCTCTCCTCTCAGGTAAGTTTTTCTTAATATAAAGTCAAGCTTGTGAACCCACCCTAAAGCTAGTTTTTCCTCACAAGGACTTTCTCGACAGAATATTCGATACCAACTAATATCAATTTTTGTTCATTCACTAGAACTTATCAGTTTTGCAATTTTGTTACTGGAGCCAACAGTCAAAGGTATATGTTTCTGGAATTTGAATCAGTTTTACACGGCATCTGTCGTTTATGCTTATACTCAATAAATTAATTAGTGTTCTATTGATCTATGTTTTACCCAAAATAGAGCTTTGGAGGCCAGCAATAAACCTCGATACCATACAAGAAGAAAAAGTGAAAATGATGACAAATGGCCTTATGACGAATTTCGATTCGATTCGCCTCCATCGGCTACACTGCCCAGTGCCGTTTGTTCCCCAAATGAAATTCCAATTATTCGAAAAAAACCGCTGAGCGTAAATATTGATATTCAGTCCATCTCATTGTCACCTCCCGGATCAAGAACTGACGCTCTGTATCTAAGAGGCTGTCCATCTCTGTGAGTATTATATATTACGTTTTTGAATGAAATCAATCGATTATATTTAAAAAACACGCTCACACGCGTTTTAATTTCACGTCAATTAAACTAGAGTTAATTTCTTGGAGATATTAGCTCTTGAAAACGCACTTCCAGCTTCAAAACAACGGAAATCTTTCAAACTTGTTGAATTAATTAGTGTTCTATTGATAGCATACGAATAGACAAAAGTGAAATTGCTGAAAGAGCATTACCGTCATCAGTCAAAATACCTTAATGAAAATACTTGAAATTTAAAGCATTTGTGAGAACGGTTAGAGGCAGATTACGTTCTGGTCAGGTGGGATTGGCGGTCTCTAAATAAATATGTAAAGCAATTTTAGAAATACTAAAGTTATCAATTTTCTGAATAGTGCCAAGGCAAGTTATTTTTATCCTTAGTTTATTTCGCGATGCCTCACGTGTCGTGTTCTGAACAAGCGAACTGTGCAAAAATTGATACATAAATCAATAAGAAATTGGTTTGATTCGAAATCGACAGATTATTATGGCCAAATCATGGAGTGCGTGCTCATTCAACAAATTTAAGGATAATTAATTACGCCGAACTAGTGCTAGTTTTATGAAAGGTGACTGGAAGCAATGGAAAATTATTTTCTGTGTCCTGCAAATAGAACGATGCCCCTTTATGCGGACATTTACAATTTAGCAAATGTGCTTTTTTCAGTATTGTACTATTTCTCTATCACCGTCATTCCACTTATATTATATGTCTTATATAAAAGACACAAATCTAAATCGGTCTCCAAAAATATCATAACAGCACCCGTAATAGTAGTAGAGGAAGTTGTACAGCCCCCAATAGTTGAAGTGAGATTGTTCTGGTTTCCCAGAAAAACGATTTCATGCCCCAATACAAAATAGTAAGTTTTGTTTATCTCAAATGCATCTTTTAAGATTTGCCTAAACACTTGAAATCCAAAAATGAATTGACTGCAATATTTATTCGTCAAATATTACCTGGAACAATTTGTGCCTTAAACAGCTCTTGATAACAAAAAACAATCTATTTATCGCAGGTTTTACGTAATCGTTAATCAACTTTTTTTTCAGTTCGTCCAGCAAGGACGTAAGTTTATTAGATTTAGATGACATTAAGAAATTAAGATACATTGAAAACAGAGAAAGCCAAGAAGATGAAGCTGAGTATGAGGCCGGTGGTTATATGCCCATCAATACAGGCGATGTCTTAAAAAACCAGTATAAAGTATGCAGGAAACTTGGTTGGGGACATTTCTCTACTGTATGGTTATGTAAAAATTCATATAAAAAGTAAGTTTTTACTTAAAAAAAAAATAAACAATAAAGGGTTATTCAAATGTCCCGCACGTCCAGCTCCCAAAAGAAAGTTGGTGAGCTACAGATGCACTTGAGCAAGTATCTCAATCAACTTGCGGTTTTCTAAAAAATCGTGCCAAATATTTTTTACTCTTTTTAACTCTATTGAAAAATGCGACATTCAAATCCAACAGTGTACCATCTAAAACTATATCAAGATCTTTTCTACAGTAAGAAAATATACAATTTTTGAAACAAAATATGCAACAGAATGATTCTTTTAGTGGTCCTAAATACGTGGCGTTAAAAATATGTAAATCTGCCCCAATGTTTACGGCGGTGGCAAATGATGAAATACGGCTTCTCCAGGAAACTCGAACAGTGAATCCTAACCATGTGGGCTATAAAAACATAGTCCAAATGGTAGATACGTTCAAGTTAATTAGCGAAAATGGGGTGCACAATGCAATTTCCTTAGAAATAATGGGACCAAGCTTACTACATCTTCTTATGCAAAGTGACTTTCGGGGAATACAAGTGGCTGCTGTTCGTAGAATAATTTTCCAGGTAACCGATTAGTTGCAGATATTAGAGCCTGTTTTATCAGCTAATAATCGAAATTTAGGTGCTACGAGGCTTAACGTACCTTCACGAAGAATGCCACATCATTCATACGGATATAAAGCCTGAAAATATTTTAATAAAAGTCGACGAAAACTACATAAAAAAATTGATTGGTCAAATGGAGCGCTTTTCGGAAATGGGAGTGGACTTGCCACGTTCTTATGGTAGAATTTTCAAGTTTCCGTTGTACTGCTTTTGTTAACTTAATTCGTATTATACTGTAGTCAGTTCAGAGTTTTGGACGAAACAGGAAAGCAGCCTCCACGACTCAGAAGAGGACATAATTCCCCGTTTCGGCGAACATAGAGCGTCTTCGTATCCAGGAAACATGTACTTCAGTGAAATGACGAATTACAGAGAACGTCATAGTCAAACAGATTTCAGCACCCCCATGTGGGTTAGTCCTAATATTGAAATAAAAATTGCCGACCTGGGCAATGCTTGCTGGGTGGTACGTGACAACGATTCCAAGCCTTAAAAGTCTAACAAGTCTCTTGCAGGATCATCATTTCTCACCAGAAATTCAGACCAGGCAATATCGAGCACTGGAAGTCATATTGGGAGCTGGTTATAGTTATCCAGCGGATTTATGGTCCATTGGATGTTTAGCATTTGAGTTGGCTACCGGAGAAATGCTGTTCAGTCCCAAAGGATCCAGTGAACATTCGGCAAATATTGATCATCTTTGCTTAATTTGGGAGACACTAGGAGGCATTCCAAAATATATTACTGAGACTGGTACCGAGTTTAAAAAGTACTTTGCGAATGGTGAGGTTTTTAAATGCAATAACACGGTTGGTCCAGAATGGATTGCTTTTTTAGGGCACTTAAAAGACGTACCAGCTGATAATCTGAGAATCTGGAAGATTGAGGACGTGTTAGTAGAAAAATATAAATGGAAACGGCTAGATGCCATTCCCTTTGCCAGTTTTCTGTCAAGTCTAGTAGAACCAGACCCTGCCCTTCGAGCTACCTCAAGCCAAGCGCTTAACAACGAATGGTTACTGTCAACGGACATTTAAAATATTATCTAATTGTAGTCGAGTTTTGGATACGTACTTTCAAACCTGCAATCATCATATAAACGTGGCCATTTTCCCTATAGCATAATTCGTATAATACATGTACTTGTAAAATTGAATCTTTTTACATGTCTGTGTTTGGAATACTTAATTAAACGTTTAACAAGAGTTTATTATTATTTATTTATGCCCCAGTCATAAATATTAACTGAATACTTTCCTCCAAAATTTTCCTCGACACAATTTTTTTTCAACATTGACGGAAAATCCATATTGCTATGTGGAACATTTGCAACCAACTGTAAAGGCCAAGTGCACTGACTAAATGTGCACATACGTCGAATGTCTCCAGATCGCCGCGAGACGCACCACGATAAAGTTGATTTATTACATTGTTAAGGAGCAAACAAAGCAATTTGGCCACGCAATGGATTCCGTGAAAGGGATAGAATATTATTCGTCGTTGACAAATGAAAAACAGTTTGTGAGCGAATAGGTAATGAGTACGAACGAATAATGAATGATTTTTTTTCAGGATGATGCATTCTACATGTGTTTTGTGCAAAAGCATTGAAGTTTTCCTTTTTTTTTAATCGACTCTCACCTTTGGAAAAATTTCGGCCAACAATCAAAATTTCACATGCGTGTTTTTTTGCGTGAATGTACATTTATAAAGCGTTTGCGTCAACAAAAAGGAAGAAATTGTCGGTTAAAGATCGTGAACGCTCAAAAACGATTAAAATGTGCCGAAAATGTCTATTATTTCGGTTCTGAAACTTCTACCATGTTTTTCAATGAGTTCGATGCATTCCTCGCGTCCGTGAGCTGAAATTGATGTAAACTTTAAGACTTTTGAGAAAATTTTAATTTTTGCAAAAAATCGATCCCCACCCTTGGAAAAATTTCGGCCAAAAATCAAAATTTCACATGCGTGTTTTTTGCGTGAATATACATTTATAAAGCGTTTGCGTCAATAAAAAGGAAGAAATTGTCGGTTAAAGATCGTGMACGCTCAAAAWACGMTTAAAATGTRCCGAACATGTCTATTATTTCGGATCTGAAACTTMTAGCATGTTTTTCAATGAGTTCGATGCATTYCTCGCGTCSGTGAGCTGAAAATGATGTAAAATTTACGAMATTTTGAGAAAATTTTCATTTTTGCAAAAAATCGACCTGCACTCTTGGAAAAGTTTTGGCCAAAAATCAAAATTTCACATGCGTGTTTTTTGAGCTCAATCGATTTCTTTCGACGGAAGAATGTCACAAATATCCATTTATAAAGTGTTTCGATCAAAAATGTGGATGAAATCGTCGGCTAAAGATCGTGAACGCTCAAAAACGATTAAAATGTGCCGAAAATGTCTATTATTTCGGATCTGAAACTTCTACCTTGTTTTTCAATGAGTTCGATGCATTTCTCGCGTCCGTGAGCTGAAAATGATGTAAAATTTACATTTTGAGAAAATTTTAATTTTTGCAAAAAATCGACCTCCACCCTTGGAAAAATTTCGGCCAAAAATCAAAATTTCACATGCGTGTTTTTTCAGCTTAATCGATTCCTTTCGACGTAAGAATGTCATAAATATCCATTTATAAAGTGTTTGGATCAAAAATGTGGATGAAATCGTCGGCTAAAGATCGTGAACGCTCAAAAACGATTAAAATGTGCCGAAAATGCCTATTATTTCGGATCTCAAACTTCTAGCATGTTTTTCAATAAGTTCGATGCATTCCTCGCGTCCGTGAGTTGAAATTGACGTAAACTTTAAGACATTTTGAGAAAACTTTAATATTTGCAAAAAATCGATCCCCACCCTTGGCAAAATTTCGGCCAAAAATCAAAATTTTTGATGCGGGTTTTGTGAGATGAGAAGCTCACAAACATGCATTTATAAAGTGTATGGGTCAATTATTATTGACCCATTATTATTATTATTCCTTATTAGAAAGAAATCGTCGGATAAAGATCGTGAAAATGTCTATTATTTCGGATCTGAAACTTCTACCACAGCTTAAATATCATAATATATAAGCTGTGMTTCTAYCATGTTTWTYAATGAGYTTGATGCATTCCTCGCGTCGGTGAGTTGAAAATGATGTAAAATTTAAGACGTTTTGACSAAATTTTYATTTTTCCAAMAAATCGACCMCCGCMYCTAGRAAAATTTCGACCAAAAATCAAAATTTGCAAAATTACACTACTTAATTAGTTGCATGAGAAATCAGTCGGCGAAGAAGACCAAAAAACTAAGTTTTGTCAGTCCTTGCATACATAAAGGAACAAAAGTCATAATTTATGGCTGACCCAGCAGCATCGAAACCATTCATAGATTCTTGTGAGACAAATAGGCTTTACAAAAAAAACCATGTTGCTACTTCATTCATTCCTTTAGATGAATAGAGATGCGCGGTAGTCGATGGGGGGCGAATATAAGGGATGTTGAAGCACTTGGTTTTTCGCCAAATGTCGCTTTACATCTGATCGATATCAGTGCGAAAGAAAAAATGTCAGCAAATTCCTTCTTTCCAACCTCTACCTACTTATTTTTAAAGGTATGAACTCGTTTGCAAATCGTGTACTGTGTGTTGAAAAAATCAGTTAAATGCAGGAATTCCAATTCTTGTTTAGAATATTTGAACTTTGATGTCAGTCAGTTGGTGTTTCTTGCAAGCGTATAGTCAAAACTAAGCCTGTGAAAATATAGTATTAAAACATCATGTATGATGAGCCATTTGGAAATTCTCCGTTTTGGACACCAAGAGTTCAAATTGTTGGTAAGCTATATGTATAGTATATAGGTATAAATTGAATCAATGGAAATAATTCTTCTAACCTTTATTATGTTGAAAAAATAATAAATATATTTGCTATAGAACAGAAATCTATCTGCCGAAAATCTTAATACAACCCTCTAATGTTGAATGACCGGATAAATGAATTGTGAAGCTGTCAATAAAGAAACCTTAGACAAAAAAAATATTTTCGTATATGCGCATTTTCCCATATTGGAATTACTGGTTTTCACTATAGATTTTGATACACTTAAGTTCAAATTTGAATTTCACAACACGTTAGGTAGACACTACGTCAAAGTAGAAAAGCTGAAGGTGTTTTTTCTCAAAAATTCCAAATGTGATTCAATATGTTGATTAATTTAATTTTTTTTCAGAAATATCACACTATGAAATTATAAAGAGAATAATATGGTTTTTCCTAGATGATTGGCTAGACTTGTCTGCCATCTACCTTGTATTTGTTTTATATTACTTCGAGGATGAAGCAGATGACGAGTTGACTCTTAGTCGCATTGACAGAGCTCGTTCGGCGATTGCGTTTCAAACAGTAGGGATTTTTATTGTAAAATATATAGGGGATGAGGATTTAAGAAGCTCCCGATATTGGATGCACCTCGTCATTTTTTGCCTGGCGTTGGCGATAACTGTTGAGCCTATCGTTAGATACTGGGAAGACAAAGAGCTAAATAGCAAGCTAACAAAAAAATTGATCAAGCTTTTCCCGTGGTTTTGGACCAGAGAATCACAGCCACAACTAATTGATAGCACCAGTGAATCAGAAGAGGAAACGCAAGAAAAGAAAATAGTAAGGGAAAGAAGATCGCCTTCAAGTGAGGTACAACAAACCTTTTTGAAGGTGTATTTTCAATACTTTGCAACGCATATTTTTTAAGAAAAAAATCTAATAGCTCCTTTAGTTAATTGATTTTGCTTCTTATCTGCTAGCCCCCTCTTCCACCGCGCACTCCTACTGGAAGAATGGGAACTCGAGCCGTGAGTACAGTAAGTTATTTTATAATTGCTAAAAGATAATTAATTTGCACTAATCTCACTCTATCTACTCACTCAGACCATGCGGGCTCAGTCTCAGGAATTTGCCACACCGACCATGGCTCAAGCTGGAAAAAAACCTGCAGTACGTACCCTACCACAGTTAGTAGCACAGAGAAATCAGCCAAGAAGAAGTCCGCGAAGCAAGAGATAATGCATATCTACTTAAATACTCGATATCTACCATATGAACTGCTGACATTGCATATGAAACATTTTTTACCTCATAAATTGCGGATTACTACAATTTATAAAACATCATATGCAGAAAAAGGGTTTCATTTTTTGTTTTATATCATTTTTAATTGTCGATGTGTGACCGTTAACCAAGCAACTAGCCGATATTTGACTGATTACCAACAAACTGACTGCATATATTTTTTTTAAATACTCTTACTATTCGATTTACTATCGTCTTTAAATTCTCTTGCAATTTTTACTATCGTGTATCTTGCTTAAGAAAAACCACATCTAGAGCATGAACGAAGTTATCGATATTTCACTAGTAAGGTTTAAACAAATGTTGCATCTTTACTTGATTTGGTTCTGTAATATCAGTGTTTTATTCTATAAGACAGGAAAAAAACGTTCCTGTTTCTTTTTCTGTTGTGTTTTAGATTATTTTCAACTAACCCATCAAAAACTAATATATTACTTAAATAAAACCAAGTTTTGTTTTATTCCTCCTTAATACACTTAATTTTATAAAAGTAATGATTTAGTATTCTATTACTAATGTTTTATTGTTTCATGTGGTCTAGAAGAAGGTCTACCTAATTGCTTCCGCAAGATGATATACAAATCTCAATATCGTTTAAACAATTAGGTATTCCAGACCACATGAAACAATAACAAATTACACTGGCACCCGACGAAGCTCGATTCAGAAGTTCAAAGTGAAATTTCTCGAACATACAGCGAGATACCGCCTTTCGGCAAAAACAGCTTTTTCTGTAAACATTAGAGAATAAATCGTGACAAAAATAAATTCAACAATAAAATGCACAATGCCTTCAGAATACTGCGCTCCCTAAGAGTTAGACTGGATTCTGGAAAACTCCCCAAATACGAAACTCTGTGCTGTTCAAGCTATTCGCATTAAACTGAAAAATAATTTAAACTTTGATTAGCTGTATATCAAACACGGTGGCCTAAATCGAAAAATTGTAGTTTCAAACTTGTCATATTTCAACATATTTTATTCAACATATTTTACATATATTCAACATATTTTAACAGTCGATATGTTACGGCTAAACTTCAAGTTCGGGTAATCTCAACCAGTTAATCTCGGGTTTAACACAAACGTAATGTTAATATAGAAATAAATTCATTTTCCACCATGAATACTTCTTGCGCGAATATCAGTTAACTAAGTAATATTTAAACATTAACCGATATTAATTGGATAACATAGAGCTAATCATAAATTATCAGATTTAAACTGAAATTAATAGAGGATTTGGGAAGGGAATAATGCCAAAGTTGTTGCATTATTATCACATGAACAATATATTTAAATGCGACTTCAAATATGTATTCCCTCCTGCATTGTGCTAGGTTTAAATATTTCTGATATGCCAAGCTATTCTGAAATTATTGCAAAAAGAGCACAGCATAAATGTATTTTTTTATAGAAAAGTGTGTTAGTAGATTCGAAAAGCTGCGTAGTTCTGTCTCCAACCTCAAACTATTTGATTTCCAAAATGGATCAAGTTCAAATTGAACCCCTAAATGACGATTTCTCGCCCTTATTTCCGTTAGCTTATTATGGTAAGTGAAGTTTATATCACCCTAGGAAATATATGGAACTGAAGCAAAACCAAATCACACAGTACTTGACTAATCCTCTTAATCTAACTTTGCTCGTCACTTAATCGTCAATTAAACCAATATTAAATATATAAAATATTACAATATTGGGTAGTTTTCGGGACGGGATCTTGGTCTGCGCCGTTAGAAATGTGCTCACCTTATAGATAATATTTTTATTAACAACTTTCCTTAGTGGCGTTTTTAGCGAAAATGCGCTTATTAACACTTTTCACAATCAAAATATTAGATATCAGTAGATCACATTTTTAAAGGAGCAGACCAAAACCTGATGTTCCTGAAAGTTGCCAAAATAGATATTATCGTTGCCTTCTTTTTTCAGCTGATGTGCTGGATTGTCATTCTCAAATGGTCGTCATGACTTTATGGATTGGATGTTTACTTTTGAATGAAAATTGGCCATTTTATTCGTTACGCCTTGTCCCGGCTTGTTTAATAACATCAATTGCTTATGTGATAAGTTTTTTGATAAAAAAATTAGACTTGCGCCAATACCAAAATATGCGAATCTCAAGCGGAGTTCTTATCGTTGGAATTTCACTTTTGTTAACTTGGGAGCCCATAGCGGAATTGGTCACAGATTTATGTTTTTATATCCTGGACGATGAACCGGCAAGCAATGCAGAAAATGAAAGTTTATCACAACAAGAAGAAATATTAGAAGAACAGCAACTACCAAGAGCGGAAGGGCGTTCAAATGCAGAAGAAGCAACTGCATACTTTGAAGAAACAATACAACTTCAACAAACGCAACAAGGGCACCAGGCAGAGATCTTTGCTTCAACATTTGCAGCACAATCAACTGCAGTGTCGGAAGAAACAATACAATTTTCTGAAAGCCCACAAGTGCAAAGAGAATGGGTCCACACTTCGACATTTGCAAAGCAAGGGGATTCAACAATAATTAAAAAAACATTAACAGTGGATCAATCAATGGCATCTACTGGAAGCAAAATTCGCTCCCGAAAGCATAGGAGTGGCACAAACTCAAAAACAGTACAATGCGATTCACCTACTATTCACCTACCATCGTCATCCATGAAACAAGACATGTCGATCTCGAACGTTTCATCTCTGAACCTAGATACGTTGTATGCAGAAAGAGGAGCTTCACATGGTGAACTAAACACGTCTTTACTAAAACAACAGACGTCAAGTATGCAGAAGCAACAAAAATCGCCCGTAGTAGAAGAAATAATACGTGAAGTTCAAAATTTGGAGGCCGAAAGCACAGAACAACCCACTTTGGAATCGCCTATCAAGCCACTGAAGAAGGTATTACTTTATAATTACCATTATAATTTAATACACAATGAAACCATATTTTTCAACACCATCTCCTTTTTTCACTTCACTTTAACAATTCGAGTCGCTGACACCTATCAAAGTGAATATCAATCACACTTTCGAGTGTATTTTCTCCAATAATTTACACCGACAAATTATTATTTATTGTTGTTTATTTCAGGTTCCAGAATAGATCAACACAAAAACCTCCAGAAAACAATTAATTTAATTAAATCACAATGACCATCCGTTCACCAAGTGGCTCATCGAAAAAGCGCCAAATATATTTTTTAAACTCAGAGGTATATAAAGACTTAGATATAATAATTTATTAAATTAATATCAATCTCAGAGCTGGACAGTTTTCCTTTTTGTGACGCATTCAAGTGGAAATGGTCGCAATCAAGTCTGAAAACCGACCAAAAAAGTTTTAATGTACTTATACGGTAGGCAGAATGCAAAAAGTGAACTTATTCGAATACTAGAGAATTAAATTTACTTTATCTTGTGTTTGTAGTTAAGTTATACTAACGTTACATGTGTTTTAATGGACAACAATACTTAGAATCGAGTTTCTACAGTATATGTATCTGTATTTTATAAACAAGTCGCTGCCTATTTTACATATTTTTGTATTTAACTATTTTAAGTTGATATAATAAATTTTATTTACTTTTGCAAAATATATATACTTATTGAGGGCTGGTTTGTCACAAGGCAATTAATGTTGCTTTTTGACAAAAGGTGTTAGTGGAACTCAGAATTTAATGAAAGTTGGTGTATTAATATTTCAAATAAAATTTATTCCTGGGTCATTTATTGTCAAGTCTTTAAGCAAGAAGCAACAACGCTACACATAAAAACTGATGATGATGGAAAAATACACCGAAACGTATTTTGATTAATAAATAGAGACAATAAATGACTGAAACCCAGGAATGAATTTTATTTGGAATTGAAACACAGTCAGGAAAGTATATACAATGTATTAATATTGATCATTTTTTCACCAACTACCACAATTAATTTTCAGTATAGCACACAGAACAATCATTTGATTGAAATCGGAAAGAGTTACCGATGTTCTTCCAATAATGTGTTAATCGTTGAGCTGATATCAAGTTTATTTTAGTTCGAGACAATTGGCAAAACAAAATATGTTTAAATAAATTCATAACATTTTGCATTAAGGGCTTCATGTTGAAAAAGCTTCCAACAAATTCCTTTCCTGAAATACCACGTTTGATTTACCAGTGTAGTAGTTATTTAGTCTGCCAACAGTGAACATTTTTCTTTAACAGGGAATCTTTACTTCATAAAATGGGTGAGTTTTATATTTATAAGCGCTGGGGAATATTAAAAATATTCTTTATTCGCTGCATTGATTGAACATTGAATAGTTGAAGTAGAACCAAACTTATATATCAAATGCATTTTTTTTAAGCAATGTATATGATCTTTTGTTTAACACAAACATATGCCGTTTCCATAATTCTAACAACAAAAATATTCTATAATAACGCAATTTTTTTCTGCTTCAGAGATTCTATTGATGATATTTCTACATGCGATATATGTGTTTTTGACCGAAGACGCCCAGGACCAGATTTGTTTAGGACTTTTACTTATCCTATTCATTCAATGCTTTATATTCGATCAAAGTCGCCCATTTTTTAAGGAGCATCTTCTACCGACGATTGCAGTTACCACTGTGGCAACGGTTGCGGCCTATATTGCAAAATGGCTCAATTGGCACTCGCTTCGGTACTCAAGTTATTTTATGATTGTTTCATTAGTGATATGGTTAACTTTCGAGATAGTTATCGCATCTTCAAATCAGATTTATTCAATGATTCGCAAAGTTAATCACCATCAGGAAGAAGTACAGCAACAAGCGCAAATTGAGATTGAAACTCAAGAAACAAGGAATCCAGTGGCAAATGAGGAGCCGGAGAGACCGGCTGAACAAACCTTGGTAAGACAAAGACATGTTTCTGAGGAACATGGTTAGGCAATCTAATTCACGGACGAGCTGAAACCTAAAATAATTATCTAGTTGCAAAACAGAACTGCTATTTGACTGTGTTCGCGCGATGTGTTGCCTAACTATGTGGACCCATACACGCTTTAGGCCAAAGTATTTACATATATTACATTACATATATTATTTAGTATTTACATATATTTTTCAAAACCGCAGGAGCTGGATGATGAACGACTGCAACCTGCGCCTGATATAGGAGAACAGCAACTAGGGCTTAAATCCTGTGAGACACAGAAGAAACTAACCATTCAGAAGCCATTAGACCAGCGTGAAGCGCCTTGCGACAATCAGGAGCAACTGAAAACTGAGACACCTGCGAATCAAGAAACACAACAATATGATGAGTACGATGTAGAAGAACCCAAGTCTCGCGAAGAAACTAAGCAGCAAAAACAAATTGATACCATCCAATGTGAGAAGCAAATTATAGAAGCACAGAGGCCCGACCAACAAGAACAACTGCAGCAAAAACAAATTGATAATACCCAATGTAAGAAGCAAAATACACATGAAGAGACCATCGACCAAGAAGACCTACAGCAAAAACAAATTGATATCATTCAATGTGAGAAGCAAATTATAGAAGCACAGAGGCCCGACCAACAAGAACAACTGCATCAAAAACAAATTTATAACATCCAATGTGAAATGCAAAATATAGAAGAAGAGACCCTCAACCAAGAAGAACTGCAGCAAAAACAAATTGATAATATCCAATGTGAGAAGCAAATTGTACAAGAAGAGACGCGCGACCAAGAACAATTGCAGCAAACACAAATTGATAACATCCAATGTGAAAATCAAAATATAGAAGAACAGAGGCCCGACCAAGAAGAACAACTGCAGCAAAAACAAATCGAATGTGAGAAGCGAAATATGGAAAAACAGAGGTCCGACCAAGAAGAACAACTGCATCAAAGTCCATGTAACATGCAGAAAGAGTGCGCAATCGTAACACCAAATATAAGACTTGAACATGAGAGGAAACTGCTTATAATAAAACGTAAGAAACAAGATAAGCAGCAAGAGAAATGGACAGTTGAATTACGCAAGAAACATGCGATGCGAAAACATCAAGAACCCCTGAACCAGCACAAATCGGAGGTTGAGAAGGAGGAACAACTGAAAATCGCGGCATCCCGTAGTCACCAAATTCAGCAACATGATAAGGAAACCGGAGAAACAGTCGAGTCGTGTGAAAAACAGAAGCAACAAAACCAACTTGATATCATCCGATGGGTGAACCAAGTTATAGAAGATCAGAGACCCGACCAAAAAGAACAACTGCAACAAATTATATGTGACTTGCAGAAAGATATAAATCTTGAGCATGAGGAGAAACGGCTTGAAATAAAACTTGAAAAACAAGAACAACAGCAGGAAGAACTGACAAATGAATCACAGGAGAAACAAAAGTCACCCCTGGACCAACATAAGTCGCCCTCTGACAAAGAGGAGCAACTGCAAACAGCTGCAATTGGTAGTCAACAAATTGAACAACCTGATGAGAAAACTGAAGAAAAAGTGGATATTCGTGGAAAACAGAAGCAGCAAACACAACTTGAAATGATCGATTGCGAGAAAGAAATTAGAGAAAAACTGACCCGGGAGCTGCAGTCAACAAAAGAAGAACTGCAGCTAACTGTAGTTAGCTTAGAGTGGATAACCAGAATGCGTAATAAATATTACGACAAATGCCATGAAATAAAACCTGAAAAGCAACAGGAGGTTAAATATAAACAACGAGAGCATAACTCGCCTAATGCTAACAAAAAGAAGCAACTAGAAATTGAAATCTCTGAAAAGCACGAGAGGCTGCAACTGCACGACCAACATGGCCGGGAACACCAAAACGCACAAACTTTGCCTAAAAAGCAACAATATGGGGTACCAGCTGTAGAAGAACATAAGAAACGAGACGAGAAACAGCTTTGTAAGGATCAACAGAAAAAATTACAATGTTGGAGAGGTCAGATACGTGTACAAAGTGAAATGGAAAATAAGCAAATATTGTATGGCAAGGCACATTCACAGAATATCCCCCCTAGGATGTGGGCACATTGTGAAAACCGAGAGCAACGTCAACATATGTTGCATAACCTGCTTCAGAGAGATGAAATTCGTCTGCAAATAGACGCGATTAATAAATATATGAATCAGATAGAAATGCTCACACGTCCAAAAGCAGTTTTTATGTCCTTTCAAAAACATGATCCTACGAATAAACCTGATGAACGAAACACAACCACGCATTCACACGATCAGCAAAAGAAGAAAACGCATTGCAAAGGCCGAGAACCACAAGACCGAATGAACGAGTTGCTATGTGAGGAACAAGAAATTAAAGCACTGGTTAAAGAGAGTCAACTGAATCAAAAGCGAGGACAAGAGTCATTGCCGATCGAAGCAAACAAACCAGCGGAGCAACAAAAAGAGCATCAAGAACACAGTCAAGTAGATCAAGTGGAACAAGATGATATAAAACACTCAAAAGGTGATAAAAAATCAGAAGCTCCCATGGAACAAGGAGAAATTCGTAATCCCAACCCGCAACATACAAAAAGAAAATCGAAAAAACGAAAAAATAAACGAAAACACCACTAAGGAAACTACCGCTTCGAGCCATCAGAAGAAGGCCGTGAGTACCAATTTCTTTAATTACATCTCACTTTTTTCCAACAATGACAAACGATGGTTAGGATTCTTATTTAAATGTTGTTCAAAATTTCAAGAGATCAAGAAGACACATTTAAAATTGAACATGATTCTTTCCAACAGTTTATTGATTTTGCTTTTAGGTAAAAACTGCACAGCAGCTTGACGCATCCAAGAAGTAAGAAAAACACACTGCAAACACAATATCACTTCGTCTATAACTGCAAAGAAAATATTTTACCATTTTCACTTATTTATACTGATCTTCTACATTTTGTCAGAAACCATCACATAATAAACGCTCAAGTTAATTTTACTGGTTGTTAGGAAAAACTTAAACAGATTCATATGGAAAGTATGATTTAACAAATTCTTATATATGAACAAATTTCATTGATGACAAAAACCAAATTCTGGTTATCTGGGAAGGTAGAATGACGAAAATGTTTTTGTTGTAAAGTTCTTTAGTTTCGACATGACAATTAGATGACTACTGCTCCGTAAAACTATTGTTCCACTGTGAGTGTTTAGATCACAAGTTTACTTCTATATATAACTTTGTTTTCTTTTAAATAGTGTGTCATATATTAAATGTATGTTTTATTATTATATTACGTAGCTGAGATGTGACATACAGTAATTAAATTACGCATGTCTTGGTTTTGGTTTACTGCACATATATCGTTTTTCATGTGAGAATATTTCACATTTTTATTATTCGGAAGGAATTACGAATGTACTAGTACTTGTGAAAAAGCTTTCTTGGATCAATTTTTTTACAAATACAATGTAATTAATAGTACTCAATAAATAGGCTTAAAAACACGTTGATATGTTTATATTATATCGAACGATAAAGTCTACCTTTTCAACCAATCCAATGTAATTGTAGAAGCGAAATCACACCCTTTGAAAGAACAGGATTCGCTAGTCGAATGGCAGCTTTAACAAAAGCGAATCCAGTCCAGCAGTTTTAATTCCAAAAATATCATTAACATAATGTATATTCATGTAACTTGTTACTAGCTGTATGATATACAGGGTGTTTTTTATCTTAAATATTTCAGAAACAAATAATCCTTCGAAAAAATGTTTCAAATAAGAAGTTAATATCTGGGAGGGGCAAGTTTATTAGTGTCGGAAAAACAACGCCTACTTCGATCTTGTAGGCTAGGCTTTGAATATAAAACTAACTAATAAGTTAGTTTTATATTCAAAGAGGCTAGGCAGGGGTTAACTTGAGAATTTCAAATGGTAACCACAACATTTTATTAGAGATTCGAATAGTACGTCAAAAACTGGGCGCTGTAATCCATCAATTATATTTTTTTTTCTTTAGATTCAGATTTAGACCTGAACTATTATTTTACTGAAACGCTTAAAATTTTAGTGTGACCAATAACATCTATTAATGTCGGAGGAATATTCCGTCCGAAAATTGTTTGATGATGCAAATCAAATATGTACATGTACGTACCTCCATATCAAGAAAACATCTATTTGTTTATTAAAAGTATATCGGCCGCCTTCTCCGTATACAAAAATAATTTCAATTTTTTCTTGCACAGTTAATGCGCTCATATCAAAAATTACAGAAGCTTATTTAAATCAAATTCAAATAGTGGTTCTAACTCAGAGCGAAATTAATAAATGTCAAAGTCAACAATTTGAAATTTCTACACTTTTATCAACTACATTGAGTTGCGAGAAATTTTACATGAATTTGACAGCTTCATATCCAAAATACATTTCGAAATGTCACGTATTGGCAATGCGAATTTTCAGACTATTAATGCTATACTTTTAATAAACAAATAGATGTTTTGTTGATTTGGAGGTACATATTTGATTTTCATCATCAAACAATTTTCGGACCGAATATTCCTCTGACATTAATAGATGCTATTGGTCAATCTAAAATATCTAAAGCAAAAAAATGATAATTGATGAATTGCAGCGCCACCTGTCAAAATAGAAGAACAGGTTTTGGATAGATTATTCTCAGTTTTTGACATACTATTCGAATCTCCAATAAAATGTTGTGGTTCCCATTTGAAATTATTAAGTTTTTGGCACCTACAAGGCGTTGTGTTTCTGACACGAATAAACTTCCCCTTCGCAGATATTAACTTCTTATTTGAAACGTTTTTTCCACGGATCACTCGTTTCCGAAATATTTAAGCGTTTCAAGATAAAAAAAAAACCCCCCTGGCTGGCTGGGCTTGGCAGCCCAGAATACATTAGCCACTTTGGGCCAGGGTGGCCATTCGTAGGGTAATTTGGGCAATTGTACGGTGTAGGTCCCGAACGCGTTACCGTAAGCCAATTGTACGGTATTTTGGTTTTTTTGTACGGCATTGTACGGTAAATATCATGGAAACTTGCTTTTCATCAGTGCGAAGGCTTTTTTCATGTCTGAGACCAATAGGGGACCTTTTCGTCCAGACATGTCCTCGGCCCAGATTGAAGATCTTTTTTTTGTTTTTCTGGACCTTTCCGGTTTAAAATCTCTGGCACGGTAAAATACGGTATTTTCAAATGGCTTGTACGGTAATACGCGTAATAAGATGCCCATGCTAGCAAGCATCTAGCATGGATAGAATGCGATGCTATGGCATACGGATGCCAGAGCTAACAAATTCTTAGAGAGGACTACAAGTTTTAAAGGATAACTCCCGAAAACTCGTAGTACAAAAAAGGGGGTTTTTTAGTTGGTAAGAATCCAACACTACCCAGGGTTCGGAACACTGGGAGTCTTCGCGAAGATTTTTATTCCTCCAGCCGCCGGGCAAGCCAAAAAAAAAGTAATACGCGTTTGAAAAGTTGGCCACCCTGCTTTGGGCAGTGTCATGGCGACAGATGTAAGCTGTAACCAATATTCATCATAAGTTCATAACGAGCACATTATTCTAACTGGAGTGTTTAATTGACACATAGAATAATATACTAGCAACTAATTTCTCCTTTTATGGATTATATATTTTAAACTAAATATTCCGATCAATTCTACTGAATTTTGAAAGCCGACTTTGAAAACAAAGCTGTGAAATTACGTTTTATTGAAAACTGTTAAACGAAGACGAAGACGAAGATATTGAAACCGTTGTTGAAATACGATTTTATCAAAATATATCCATTGGAATAATGTCTGCAATTGAACGTAAGAATGTTTGGAATTCACTCAGCAGGATAAATATGCTAAAAAAATTTAAAAGTTTACTTGATTTAAACTATTCCAAAGTGAGTATCATCAGAATCGCGTCTGAATGTGGAATAACAGCCAAGGAAATGAAAATAATTTGTCTAGTTTCGGCTGTACTTGGTTTGGTGCCATTAATTCTATCGGCTGATCCAGCTCAGAAAATTGATGGTAAGACTCAATTATCATATTTCAATTATCTCCAAGCAAACTTGAAAACGTTAATATAATCATATTAGTTATAATAAAATATCTCTATTTCAGACATCCACTTTACTCTTTCGAAAAATGATTTCTGGATTATTGCAGTACTGGTAGCAATTATCCTTACCATTACACTTGGGGTTGCCGCACATTTGTATAACACAAGAAATGCGAATAAGGAAACACGCAAGCTACACAATTTACTAATTAGTGTACTTGTGTGTGTTGCGTTCGCTGCGTTTATATATCTGCTAAGTTGTATGGTGCAAAACGAGTTACTTAAATACGTAATCATGTCGGCATTGACGTCTGTACTTTGTAGTGGGTTTATGATAGGTATGCTTGCTATCGTCTCAAGCATGCGACCTAATAATGAATTAACAAGACATCAGCTTGATCAATACGTCCTCCGATTGTTGGAGGAGCACCAACTTCACGAATGTGGTACCATAAGACAATCTGGCCAACCACCATCCAGAACTCCATTGCTATCCTCACCTCGCGTGTCAGGACGCGTTTCTACTACGATTTCCCTTCAAAACAATAATTCATTGACTGCTTCAAATGTTAACGTACATCTTACACCACCAACACCAGTGAGAGTTCATCGTTCTTTACCACAAATACCATCGTCTACTGCCGCTGCACTTTCATTGACACGTCCTCATCCTTTATTGATACAAGATGCATCTTCATCAAGACATGCCGAATCTCCCTTGCAACTTTCTGCATCTTCATCAAGTCCTGCACCGAAACTTACTGGATCTTTATCAAGAGGTGCTAATTCTTCCTTGCAACTTTCTCCATCGAGACGTGCTGAACCTGCACCAAGACTCACTGATTCTTTATCAAGGGGTGCTAAATCTTCCTTGCAACTGACTGAATCTTCATGGAGTCGTCCTAAACCTCCACCGAGACTTACTGAACCTTTATTAAGGGGTGCTAATTTTTCCTTGCAATTTCCTTCATCGATACATGCTGAACCTTCACCGGGACTTACTGATTTTTTATCAAGGGCTGCTGAATCTTCCTTGCAACATACTGCATCTTCATCGATACCTGCTGAATCTTCACCGAGATTTACTGAACCTTTATCGAGATATGTTAAACCTTCTAAAAATGTGTCGGAAAGTGCTATATCTTTACCAAGAAATGCTGAATCTTCATGGATACCTTCTGAATCTGCTCCAAGACGTGTTCTACCTCCACTGATAGGTTCTGAAACTGTATATATAACGAGTCATGCTGAAGAGGTATCTGAAGATCTTGCAGATCCCAGTCCCACAGAAATGTCTGAACATGATGAAAAAGGATCAACAGATGAACTACTTACATTGGACAAAACCCAGTTGTAAAATAGGTACAATAGCTGCTACTTCCTTTGTACCATCATAGTTACGTGTTATATTCCTACATATACAGAGTGAAGGATACGTCCTAAAGAACGGCCTATGAACTGTACGTCTCGATCATAGAATCCGAATTCACTTAGCAGCTCGACAGCCCAATTTGAAGTAAGTTAATGATCAAAAAATAATACAAAATAATACAACTTTAAACATGGGATTTTAGTGTTTCTTAAGAACCAAAGTGTAACTTTTGCTTCCACATAACAGTTTATCAAAGTGTTATATGTAAAGTGTGACTTTTGTTTTCTGCAAATATTTTACTTTTTATTTCCTTGTCTAAAATTGACAATCATATTAAAGGTGAATATGGTTTCCTTGTATAAATACGTACATTTTTTAAACCAGTGTCCAAAGAAAGTGTCTGACTGCCGAAATTATTACATTACGGTGACACAATTTAACACAGACAAAATTAAGTGGATCGAATTTATATTAATAATGAACTTATTTTCTTATTCGTATCTACTTAAAATGAATAACTTTAATATACTTTAATTAAATACGAAGAATTAATTGGTTCCACATTTTAATCGAGCATGTTTCCTGTATTTATTCACTGCAAGGACATTCGTTATTAATAAATGACAACGTATTTTTATATTATGGCGATCCATGCAAGGTTATAAATTTTCGGTTTCTGATTATTTTATATGCATTTTTATTTATATACATTAAGGGCAATTAAGCCACTGTGAATGTTTAGATAATAAGTTTAGTTGTATGTATTTTTGTGTGTTTTATTTTAAGTAATTAGAATTATTATCTAATTCACATTTTATTATATTCTCTATTATAGAGCTAATGTATGGAAACACATAGTTACTTCAGAATTATAGTTGTTTGTCTTGTCTGAGTTTTTGTTTCATTCTTCTTTAATTTTTACTAATATTGTTACAGTTTTTTAGCGATTTCTGCAGTTCACACGCAGGTTAACAACTTGAAACATTCTTGCGTCTATATAAATGTATTATCGTTTTAAACGAAACCATTGAAATCTAGCCAATAAAGACATGGAAAAAAAGATATTTTTATTAAATTTCCGTAGGAACCCATCAGCTTCTTTTTGGGTATTTTGCCTCAAAAATGTTTGTCTTCAAAAAAGACTGAATTTCCTCACGTCTTTTATTACAAATTGATAAATAGTGCTCCTATTTCGCAATAAGAACGAATTATTTATCAAAAAGTAATCAAGAACTATCA